GGAAGGAGAGGCGGAGGGAGGAAGGGGAGTCTTCGGATTCGGAGCATAGAACGAGCAGACGAGACTCCAAAGAGTCGACTTCGGCGACCTCCAAGTTGCCGAAGAAAGGACAAAGGATTGCCGGGAGCGAGGCTGCAGGGCAGCCCAGCAAACCGGGCAACCCAAGAGAATCATTGGAATCATTGAAAGTCCACAGGAAGGAATTGGAGGCCTTCCTGATGGATGAAGCCAATAATATCGAGTTGAGCAGTGTAAAGTTCATCCTGGGCAAGTGGTCGGAGCTGGAATCCGGCCTGGCCCAGAATTATCTTGAGACGGAAATCCTGAAAACCAGGATGTCCGCTCTCGAAGAGAAAGTGAACTTGTTCACAAGCGTGAGACCAGTTCACACAGAGACAAACAAGAGCTACGCCGCAATGCCCCTTTAGCACCAAAGACCCCAAAAAGGGAATGTAAGAAATCGCAGGTTGTGATTATCAAGCCTGCGATTTCCGATTCAAAGGACACTAGCGAGAGTGTCAAAGAGAAAATCTTTGAGGTTCTCAAGGAGAACAAGAAGGACCTGCGCATAAAGCAGGTCCGAAAGATAAGAAACAATGGCGTCCTCATTGAAGCAGGCGGTGAGGACGACCTCAAGATTATAAAAGAGGCCAAGTTCGCCAAGCTTGGTCTCAAGTGCGAGGCACCCAAGATGCTGAATCCGTGCGTAATTATTTACGACGTGGATCAGCAAATGAAGGAGGATGAAATAAGACAGGAAATATGGGGTAAGAACCTCAAAGACTCTGCTCTCGCTAGGGAAGTGTACGATACCTTGTTACACTTCCGGTTCAGTACCAAAAACAAAACGCCAGGACTAGTGAACTGGGTAATTGAATTACCCGTCGCAGTCCTGAAAGAACTGGAAAAACGCAAGAAGCTTTACATCGGGTGGCAGGTCCACTCGGTGAAAGAATTCATGAATGTCTCGAGATGCTTCAAGTGTCTCGGGTTTGGCCACTCCACCAAGAAGTGCGAAGTGACGCAGCAAGTCTGCGAGCACTGCGCACAAGCGGGGCACCTCAGGCAGGATTGCCCCGCCTCGAAAGCTGCGCCCAAGTGCATATGTTGCACGCGGGCCAAACGCAGGAGCACAGACCACAGTGCTCGGGACAGGAACTGCCCCGAGTACCTGCGTCAGGTCGAGATCCTGCGTAGCAAGATTACATATGCCATCTAATGGCGCTGCAAATCTTGCAGGTCAATGCACAAAAGTCGATAACCGTAGCAGCGGAACTTAAAAAGCTCGCCTTTGACCATCGAATCGATGTGATGCTCCTCCAGGAGCCTTACGCATTCAAAGGTGCAATAAGAGGGTATGCACCCCTGACAGCCAGAACAGTGACGGCCCCAGACCCGAACACAGGTCAGATAAGAGCTGCCATCGTTATTTACAATAACGACATGGTAGTAACGAAAGTAAATCAGCTGTGTAACGCCGATTTCGTCTGTGTGCATCTTGGCACCAGCGAAGGAGACGTCTACATGGCTTCGATTTACTGTCAATGCAAAGAGAAGATCGAGGGGTATATTCAACAAATGACAGAGTCACTGGACTGCTCGAAGGACAACATAATAATCGGAGGCGACTTGAATGCCAAGTCTGTCCTCTGGTTTAATCGAACGACCGATGCAAAGGGTGAACTCCTGGAGGAATTCATCCTAAATAAAGGCTTAGCTATCTTGAATCAGCCGAACAACCCCTACACCTTCTGGACGGTGAACGGCAGGTCAAACATAGACGTAACACTGGCAACACCCAAAACGAGTAAGAACATAGAAGCATGGCAGGTAAAACCCAACTGGTGCAGCAGCGACCACCGCTGTATTCAAATAATATACAAGAATAAATCGGGGAGCCAGTACCCGATCAGACAGGCCAAAATCACAAAAAGATACAACATCAGAAGTGCAAATTGGGACAAATTCGAAACCGAATTGTCCCAAATGAAGGATATGACGCTAAGGTCCTTAAGATACGATGCACCTGAAGCAGCGGTGGAAACGTTCAACACCACTGTTGCAAAAATCTGTGATGCTTCTATGAAAAGGAAAGCACTAACAACGAGATCGGTTCCCTGGTGGAATGCAGAAATCGAAAATGTTAGAAAAAGGGTGAATGATAGCCGCAAGCATCTCCAGAGGTGTCGGAGAATCGGCCTGATAAATCAAGTAGCAATAGCCAAAGAAAATTATAGTCGTAGACGCAACGAATATAATAAGGTCATAAGGCAGAGCAAAAGGAAAGCTTGGGAAGACTTTGTGCGTGACAATATTAACAAAGATCCCTGGGGGATTGTCCGTAAGCTGGTCTGCGGCAAAACATACTCCAATGACGTGTTTAACACGTTAAGAGTAAATACCTCAAGTAGCACAGACTGGGAGTCATCCATCGAGATACTCCTGGGCAAAATTGCGGGAGACGGGGGCACGGTTGAGATCGACCGTGCGCAAGAAAGGACGGAAGAAATAACGAATTACACAAACCTCAATACAGAGTCAGAAATATCTGACTCTGAAATAAAGCAGGCCATAAAAAGGCTTAAAGACAAAAAAGCTCCGGGGCCAGACAATCTAAACCCGGAGATCATAAAACGGATAAACAGCCAAAATCCGAATATATTGAGAAACCTATATAACAACTGCCTCGAAAACGGTGCTTTTCCGAGGCAGTGGAAAGAAGCGGAGCTCAAGGTTTTCCTTAAGAGCTCCGAGAAAGACCCTTCCGATCCTTCATCGTATAGGCCGATCTCACTGCTGTCAGTCGTTGGCAAAATATATGAAAGAGTGCTACTTGAAAGAGTATACACGGCATACCAAGAAAATGGCTTGGAAAATGAAAACCAATTCGGCTTCAGGAAAGGAAAATCCACTGAAGACGCAATTTGCAGGGCACTGCAAGAAATAAGAAACACAAATGAGAAATATGTTGTCGGTGTCTTCATCGACATAAGAGGGGCTTTCGACAATCTGAGCTGGACAGCCGTCCTGCACAGACTAACAAAGTCTAATTGCTCAACAAAGGTTTTTAATGTGCTGAGAAACTACTTTGATAACAGATTTATAAGGTTCTCCACACAATACGCTCAACGGAGACAGAGACTCACCAGAGGATGCCCCCAAGGTTCCATTATCGGCCCAATTGCATGGAATATGGTAATGGACACGTTGTTGCACACTCAAAGAGACAAGCCGCATAGCATAATAGCATATGCTGACGACCTGCTCGTGCTTATCCCGGGCAACTCCAGAAATGGAGTTGAGGCTCACGCCCAACTGGCTATGGCTGACATAGAAAGTTGGTGCCGTGAGCAAGGCCTGGAAATAGCATCGGGCAAGACGAAAGCTATGCTGCTAAAAGGCCAAATGAATAAGACCAAACTACCATCCGTTAGTCTTAGCAACAACAGAATTAGATACACCGAGATACACAAGTATCTCGGTGTAATGATAGATAACAAATTGAGCTTTGTCCACCATGCAAAATACGCGGCCGATAAAGCTAAGAGGATATGCGGCCAGTTCGCGAGGATATCCAGAAAGGAATGGGGGATCAACCAAAGGTCCATGGGCCTCATGTACGAGGCGCTGATAAGCCCCATACTAACATACGGGGCAGGCGCCTGGTACGGTGAGTCTCAAAAGACACATATCAGAAGACAAATAGACTCAGCACAGAGAATGACACTTCTCAGTTGTTCTCGAGCATGCAGGACGGTCGCCACAGCAGCCCTCCAAGTCCTGACGGGTAAATTACCTATAGACCTTACCCTAGTGCAGAGGGGAATAGGCTATAGGATAAGAGCGGGACTAAATGCTAAATTCAAAGACAAATATGAAACACCGACTCATATAGAAAGCATGAGCTTAGATGAGAAACAGAGAGAAAAGGCCAAGCTAAAGAAAGCCATTCTAGAAGAATGGCAAGAAAGATGGAACGCAGACACCAAAGGTAGAGGGACGTTCCAGTACATCAGGAACGTCCAGTATGCTACAAAGAACAAGTGGTTCCATCCGGGGTTAGACCTAACATTCCTTATTACAGGAAAGGGTTCCCTGAACAGTGCCCTGTACCAGATCGCAAGATGTGCGGACATGGAGTGCCCCTTCTGCGGTCTGGAAGAGACAAGCGATCATGTGGTATTTGACTGCCCTAAGTACGACTTAGAGAGAAGAGATCTCCAGGAACACCTCGGAGATCTCTCAAAATACAAAAACGATAGGTGCCTTACTATCGAAAAAATAAAAGGATACAAACACCTGGCCGAATACGCCAAAAAGGTGTTTGCCAAGAGGAAAAAAGAAATGACGGAAAGTAGAACTGGTCCACCTCCACGTGGTTAGGGATGGAAACCTGTCGCCACGTCAGGGCTAAGAGACCAGCAAATAAGAGAATCGTGTATGCGAAGACAGATTGGAACCGGCGAGCTGGATCACCGCTGCGGGCGAAGGGGACTCAAGCCGTCCTAGCGTTACGACGTCTAGGCGGATGATTGGTGCGGAGTGTAGAGGGATGCTCGGGGTCAAACCCGAGTAGGCCCCGCGGCGTGGAACCCGCGGTCGCATAGCTGTTCACGTTCCAACAAAACAATATCCACAGTAACTCGTATCCTGTACCAGTGCACATTAGAGCCTCTGTGCACCTCAGGCACCCGGGCTTAGCCGGGTGGGAATCAACGTCAGTGGGGGTTCGAAAGAATCATGAACTGGCGGTATTCCAGGTATTAGGGAGCCATATATGGCAAGGAATGAAATGGAAAATGAAAAATAATGCGACTTAATTATCATCTCGATATGGGCTACTGACAACAAAAAAGATTGGACAAGGAGGAAGGCGCAGGCCAACCTCCTTTTAGCTCTAGGCCTCAGGGACTGCGAGCGACGGCTGTCGTTAGTGGTACGGGGAAGGTGATCCCGAGGTACCCGAAACCCCTAGTGCTCCAAGCAAATTGCGCGGAGCCCCACACTGTAAACCCTGACGCTGCAACGACCCACTGATGTTGTCTCAGATGGTAGTGGCGTCATCGGAACGGGGGTCTTGCCTTAATCGGCTGGGCTGAGAGGATGACAACCTCTAAACAAAAAATCCTTAACCTCAAGCTGCGGTACGCGGTGATGGGGTACGTTCTTGTCGATGGCACCGGAACGTGGCTGGTGAGAGCATCAGTACCAAGCGACCAACTGTGGGATACCTGGCGACTCCTCAACAGTATATAGCCTTGTCTGCGTAAGGGGTGGCTCTACGTAGATCGACCTCTTTTCCACCCAACTCGTGGGAACTTTAATGGAACCTAAAATCAAAAACAAACCAAACTCGAATAAACGCTGTAAAAGCCAGTGTAAATCTAAGACAGAGACAAGCGATACAGAGATGGAACTGGTGTCAGACCAGTGTGAAAGAAAATCACTCAAATTGACCAAACCAAAGAAAGCTGGAAACCTTCCTTCAAAACAAGGAAAGGTAACGAAATCGAAAGCAAGAGTAAGCTCTACCTCGTCCTCGGACGAAGAAGAGCAAACTCAAAAATCTAAAAAGCAGAAGATAACAAAGCCAGTGGCTACGGCCACAGGCAGTGACAAAGAGGTAACCACTGGTCAGCCTACAAGAAACGGACCACTAGAACAAGTCCGAAGAGAAAGGGAAGCCTTGGAAAGCTTCCTTTTCGATGAAGGAAACAATGTCACAAGAGCCACAGCAAAGTTTGTACTACAAAAATGGGCGATTTTGGAATCCAAACTCCAACAGGAGATCTTGGAGAAAGAAACACTCATTGCAGTGCAAACTGAGCTGAGATCGAAGCCGGTCGGCACCTACGCGCAAGCGGCGGCGACCCCGGCGACAACCAAAACAATGTCTGGTAAGGAATGGCCGTCCAGGTGGCCTGCCAGACAACAACAACAACAACCAAAGGAAAGGAGCGAAGTCATCATCCTGAAGCCCAAGGATGACAACGACAAGCGCTCAAATGATGAAATAAAGATTCAGGTCACGAAAGCTTTGGCAGACAACCGTCGTGACCAAAAAGTAAAGAACATAAGGCAACTCCGCAACAAGGGAGTCCTGATCGAGGTATCTAGCCAAAATGATCTAAAAATAATAAAGGAGGCTAAACTCGAGGAAAAGATCGGCCTAAAAGCATCGGAACCGAAGAAACTGGCGCCGTCCATCGTCATTTATGA